CCAGGACACTGTGGACGCAGAGCCACAGCCAGGACACTGTGTTAAGGTTCACGTGTGCAGATTTCTCAGGTCAGAGAGGAGTGGCTCATGAAAATCAGGATAAGTAAAACAGCTACAAATGACCTCTCAACCTAACATGGCTTCTTTAGCTTCTAGTAATGAGATCTCTAGAGATGCTCATCTCAAACTGAGAGAATTAAAAGGAGATAATTGTTTCAAGCATGTTGTTTAGGAGCAAGCCACCATAGGTAAACGGAATTTACATACCAGCTCACACTTTTAAAAAAATACTTAAATGGGGAAACCATGGTGGAAGGGTTAGACAATGTGAGAGATAAATAATGCCTAGCTAGTTTTTAAAAACCAGAGAGAACATATTAGTCCAACAACCTACTGACAAATTATACGTACAGCTAGGTCAAGGAATATAATATCTGTCTAGGTAAGGTTTATCTGAGAATGTTTGGCCTTTGCCCAAGCTTTATCTACATGGTGCATGGTAATTAAAAGTACCAGACTGGTGGAACTAACCTTCTTGGATGCTTAACAGTCATCCTTTGAGGCCTATACTAATTTAGTCAGAGGGACATAAAGGACAGTTTTTGCTCCTTGCTGTCCTAGGTTGACTAAGTTCTAGAGGATGGAAAGCATCTCTCAAATTGTCCTGTAACTGTGGTGGGTCACCTATCCTCTTGATCAAGGAGGCCGAGGAGACCCCACCAGATGGACTTGAACCAGTGTCCAGTCTACAAAGAGGAGGGTCAACACTTGGGAAACATTTCCTTCATGCTTCCAAGCAAAGCCAGCCATGATCGAGCAGGACCTTTGACTTATCTTCACATAGGCGGAACTGGTAAAAGAAAGGAGCCAAGGGCTCCTCCCAAGCCAATGTGACCCCTTAGGAACAGATCCTCAAATGGTCTTAAGAGTAAAAATAAATTGGTTTATCTGGGCCAACTGTAGAGTCTTAAACACCCAAAAGGAAAGTATAACCAAAATTAATGGGGTCAATATAAATTTTTAAGAGTCCATATGTATAGCTAAAAGCTACATAACAAGAAACAATGCCAGACAGGAGATACCTTCTTTTGAGTTGTTGGCCAGGGTGGCCCAAGAGACTCCCAGATAGTAACCCAGCATAGAACTGAGAAAATGAACAGCAGACCCCAATCTTATCTAAAGGAATATTGACAACTGATTGCTGCTAGATGAGGAACAGCTGACCTTCCTAAAACAAAGCTCTCTAGATAGGCTGAGTAGTTTCAGCAGATGGACAAGCACTGGGGGACAGCTGGAGGCAATGACAACACAGTGGACAGTAACAGGGATGATAGAGTATATGGGCTCCAGTGGGGGGGTGCTATGGGACAGTGCCATTTGGGAATGGGTATATAGATGAATAAGATTGTTTAGGATGTCCTGTATGATATGCATACAAAAACCTCAAATTTAAAAAAGACTCATATTCGAGGAGGAAGCATAAAAATTTACTTCATGTTAACTAGTAGAGGTGATAAACATTACCACTGAAATCTACCTGATGACTTTATATCCATACTCAGGTGCCAAGGATCCAATTTAACCAACTATGACTAGTAATAGTCAGATACATAGAGATTAGAGACTCATGTGCAAATGTCTAAGTGTTAGTAGCATTAAAAATGAGTCTTTCTAAAAAAAATAATGAAAAATGAGTCTTTCTGTAGGAAACAGTATTTTTGAAATGTAGATCTTTTTTAAAGGTTAAAAACTCATTCAATTTTATGTCTTACAGGGTTTATACTGAGTTCAATATTGTATAGCTGTATTAATTCAACTGTGAACCTAAAAATTTATAGCCACTTTTGGAAGAGATGTATCTTTGCTCTGGAAATTGTTATTGAATATGTTAAAGCTGTAAAAAAAACATTTTACCAATACTCTTTGGGAATTTCATACAGTGTATTTTGATCTCATGCAGACTCCCTCTCCCATTTCCACCCCATCCTACCACCACCCCCGGCTTCATGTCCACTGTTTTTTCTTCTTTTTTAAGTATTTTTATTGATTCTTTGAGAATCTCATGCAATATATTTTGATCATATTCAGACCCCCTCCCAGTTTCTTACCTACCTCCCGACCTCATGTTCTCTGTTATTAGTTTCTTTTTCTGAAGATCTATATGTCCCCAGATGCTCTTGGGTGTGGGTCCATCCCCTGGAGTCTGGGAAACTTGAGCCCTTTAAAGTGTCTCAACCTTAAAACTGACTCTCCCTCTTCCAGTGTCAATCAGTTGCCAATAAGTCTTCAATTAGGGCTGGATTTTCTTGTCCATCTCCCCTATCCATGCTGGTAATTTGTTTGGCTTGTGCTTGCACAGGTCTTGGACATGCTGTCATAAGTGTTGTCAGTTCATATGTGCAACTTCCCTGTTTTGTCCAGACAACATGGTTTCCTTGTATTCATCTACCACCTTTGGCTCTTAAATCTTTCCCTTTTTTCCTTAATGATCCCTGAGTCTTGGAAGGAGGGTGTGATATATGTGTCATACTTAGAGCTGAGCACTCTACAGTATCTTATTCTCTGCACATTGATTGTGTGTGCCTCTGTGTTAATCATCATCTGTTGCAAGAAGCTTCTCTGGTAAGAGCTGAGAGATGCACTAATCTAAGGGTTAAAGATAAATCATTAGAAATCAGTTTAATACTATGTCTATTTAGCAGAAAAATTATTAGGTTCTCCCCTATGACCTGTGATCTATCTAGTCACAAGTTCTTGGCCCTGATAACAGTGCCAGGTATGGGCTCCATTTTGTGAAGTGGGTCTTAAATCCAATCAGAAAGTGGTCAGTTATTCCCACAACATTCATGCCACTATTGCACTAGTAAGCATATCTTACCATGCCAGCCGTATTGTAGCTCGTTCTCTGTTGATCTAACTAGAATCACATTTGTATGTGAAAGACTGAACTGTACGTAAACAAAACACTGTCAAGGGCATCCTTTCTAAAATCAAGTACAAACCAAGGTCCCAAACCGACTACAGTTCAACCAAGTAAGTCTAGACCTCTTTTATTCTCCTGTACTTAAGTGTTAAAATTAAGCATGCTGCTTAATTTTGTTTGCTCTTAATTTCTAAAATTCCTATTACTTGCCATATATTAAACCTAACTGAGCACTTTCCCAGTAATTTTTCTCCCTTAAAATTCATAACCCTAGTAACTTGAAGTTCATATATCAAATTCAGGAAAGAACATGCAGCTAAGAAAGTTAAAACAGTTACAATGAATATGACTGAAATTTTACTTAAGGTCCTCTAAGATCATTGCATTGCCTGGACTTCCTATCCTCAATTCTTTGCAAAGTTCAGTTTGCAATAGTAACTATAAAACATATAAGTACAAGCTTGGAGTGTTTATTCCCAGCACTCAAGAGGCAGAGGCAGGCTGATCTCTGTGAGTTCAAAGCCAGCCTGGTCTACATAGTGAGTTCCAGGACAGCTGGGGCTACAGGGAAACCCTGTCTCAAAAAGACCAGATGATAATAATAATAATTATTATTATTATTATTACAAAATATTCTTATATAACATGCTTTAAAATGTTTGCTTTTTTCACAATTAAAGTTAGATAAGTGATTTCAAATACAAAAGATTCAAACATAACATTCTCCTCACTGTGTGAAAGCTAAGAAACTACTCTGCGCACCGCATGTAAGCTAAGTCTAAAAAGGATTACACCCATTGATTTCCTAGTGTGTGCACTATGACATCTTATTTTAATTCCTATATGCAACATCATTCTCATTTTTTTTCAGATGAAGGAACTGAGGTACAGAGAAATTAATTTGTGTATATCACAAAACTTAGCTGGGGCAAAACTCAATTTTTAATCCATCCTTCTGATCCAGAATTGCATGTCCTGACCACTGTCCTATGTGTCTGAGAAAAAACAGAGAAAGACATCATGTACCTTTGTCACTGATACTGCACGGACTGTTTAGAGTGCAAATTGGTTGAGTACTGTTGTACATACCTGTAATCTCAGCACTTGTGAGGCTGAGGCCAAAGGAGACTAAGTTCAAAGTCCAGCCTGGACTATGTAGCAAGTTCCAGGCAAGTCTGGACAGGCTGTATAGTGAGACCTTGTCTCATAAAAACAAAACAAAATAAATAGTAGAATATCAGACAATACAGTTCAGCTAGCAAACAGAGCAGAAAGTATACCCACCGAAACAAATATATTTCTAGGACCACAAAAATCGTAATTGCTATTTCAAAAGTCAATATATAAATTTTCCAACTTCTAGCTATCTTTATATCGTGTCTTCCCTTTAATACTACATTTTTATTTATTTGTTATTATCATATTATTAGTGTGTGTGTATATGTGTGTGAGTGTGTGTGTGTGTGTGTGTGTGTGTGTGTACATGAATGGGAGGAGGCATGGAATACTGTGCATGTGGAGTCAGTTCCTGGAATCAAACTCAAGTCATCAGGGTTGCATAGCAAGTGCTTTACCCACTGTGCCATCTTGCTGTCCTTCCAAAATAAGCTTTTGTTTTATTTATTATTTTCATTTGTGTATGAGTGCATTGCCCGCATGTACTTAAGCACACCCATGTCATGCAATGGCCACAGAGGTTAGAAGAGGGTGCCAGGTCCCCTGGAACTGGAGTTACAGATGGTTGTTAGACATCATGTGGGTTCTGGGAATCGAACCTGGGTCCTCTGCAAGAGCAGCCGGCACTCTTAACCACTGAGCCATCACTCCAGCCCCCCACAAAAATTAATTTTAAAATTGATTTCTAATACCTATGGGTACTAACGAAATCTTTCCTTGATGATCCCTCTAGGAAATTCTGACTAGAATACAAAGACATGAGAATATCTCAATGGGAAGTTCAGTTGAATTGTCTGAAAATTCAAAAATCTTTTTCCACTCCCTCCCTCTACTTCTTCAAACTACAACCACCCAGTAATGAGGCAAACGGATGAACAAACCCACGTCTGGAGCCTTGTGGTCACTCTTGCATATTTATTCATGTTTTCTCAGTATCAGAAAGCTATATACCACAATCTATATACCACATTCCAGGCGTTTTGCAAAAACAAAGCTATCTTCTGCAGATGATTCAGTCAGGCTCATAATTCAGCAGCAGCAGCTGGAACAAAGAAACAAAAGGGGAGACATAATGGTTTTAAAAAATAAGACTGAGAAACAATTCCTAAATTTAGTAAACATTACCTAATTTTGATACAAAGTGTAGGTAGAAGAAAATTAGTTTGTAAATGTTTGCTATTGAGTATTTATTGGGATGGATTGATCATTCCAGTATTGTGCTCGAGGAATTTCATAGATATCTCAAACACAGTCCCAGTCTCCAGATCATAATGATTGGCACCCATGTGGCATTTCTTCCCTGAAACAATCAGCCCACAACGCTCCTTGTCCAAATGCCTTTAACCTAAATAGACCTAAAGTTCAGAAAGAATTCTTATTAACTACACTCTACTTTTTGTCAGTAACTACAATTATATTTTATGCAAAGTTACATCAAAAAAAAAAAAAAAAGGGAACCAAAAGAAGACAGGTAGAAAGGCCCAAGGATCTTTAAGAATCAGATGATCCAGGTACCTTTCATTATTCAATCAGTTACTATCAGTGTGACTCGGACACATTATTTGAATTTTCTGATCTCTGTTCTATAAAAGTGCTATAGCTGCTGGGTGTGGTGGCACACGCCTGTAGTCCCAGCACTTGGGAGGCAGGTGGACCTCGGTGAGTTCCAGGCCTGCCTGGTCTACATAGCGAATTCCAGGCCAGCTGGGGCTACAGGGAGACCCTGTCTCAAAAACACCGGAAAAAAAAAGTGCTGTAGCTTTATTTACCTGTTACAGCTACCACAGAATCAAGTAAGATGATGTTGGTCTAATTCTTGCCACAGACTAGGCTGTATATAAATAGCAGCTACGATTACAATCAAAAAGAGAAATTCAGCTCGTGAAATAGTGTTTATCTGTGGTCATTTAGAACTTTTATTTCCCACTGGTTTTCTACCTCCATATTAGTTTTGACCATTTACAAACTCATGGGATTTTCCTTATTAATTATTAATTACTAGCACTTCTCTTGGGAAATACAATGGTCTTCAATTTGTGAAACATTAAGCACACTAGAGGAATATCTGAGATGTGGAGTGACGCAACCTGATGCAGCAAGCAGGAAGATTACACAACCTTAATTCACAGGCACAAGTACACATGCCCACGCACCCAGGAAGTGCAGGGGTATGTGGAAGTCAGTTCTTTATCTATTGTGTGCACTCTGGAGCAGTAAACAAGGCCATGTGAGGACTCAGCTAGCATGCTTCCTCTGAGTCAGTATTAAACAAACTTCCGAACTGGTAGGGAAGGAAATAAAGCCACTATACCCCAAAGACACCCACACAGTGTGCCAAGAATTACAGGAGTTGTATCCAATATTTTGTCTGTTACTGGTACAATATTAAAATGGGTTTTGCAACTTTTTAATGTTGTTTAGTAATTAATAGTTATTAATGCTGTTTAGTGATTAATAGCACAACTTTCTGTTTAGTGACAGTGATCTAGTGTGATGGTATCTAATATGACTTTCACTCAAGATATGTTAGGCAAAGATCTCAGTGATGGGAAACATGAAAGATCTTACAGACATCACAGCATAGCGTAATGGGAAGACCCACGCTCTGAAATCAGAAGCATTCCTCAGAAACCTGTACTTCCTGGGTGCTCTGCATTTTCTAGTTTTGTGACCTCAAGCAAATTACATACACTTAGGAGATTTCCACTTTCTCATTTACAAGTTCATAACATCCACAAGGGTTTTATAAAATCAGATCAGGCACCAAATGAGTAAGCACTTTGACAAATATGAACAATTGTATGACTATATGCTTTAACCTTTACGTGTCCTCAAGTCACCTAAAACAGAACCTGAGAAAAATTATGTTTACAATACCTTGCAACTGTTTTGCTTAAAGTAGATGAGTTCTAATGCTTGCATTCTTTTGGCTTGCAACACACTTTGGTTTTTAGGAAGGGAGAAGGGTTCACAGCACCTGTAACTAAATTTCTGCAGTTAAAACTAAATCCAGAGAACACAGATTCCCATACTTGTGCAAGATTTTATTTCTGAGTTTAGAAGGCTGAGTACAGAAATCACAGCTCATAAAAAATAAAAGGAAGCAGCTAAAGCATTTGACTTCTTACCAATGTCCACAAAGTAAGATGTCTCATTAAGGCTTGGCTGGGTGCTCAGACAGTAAAGGACATTACCATTTCCGGCAACCCAAAGCTTGACCTGACGTTTGGACTTTTGAAGGTAAACTTCCTGAGAGGAAATTAAATGCAGAGAGCCTCTTCCAGTTTGGGATACTAGTCTTTGCAAAAACAGTGAGAAACATTTGCACTAAATTAAAATTTTAAATTTACCTTTAAAATACCAAAGTCAACAAAAAGGGCCAATAATTTTTCATTTAGAATGGGAAGTGAAATCAAAATCAAAGGCGTTCAAAACATCCTTTTCTCATTGTTTATACCTCCATTCAAACATGCTCCAAAGTAAGATAAAAGAGTTCTGCCTTCCCTCTCTGTGCAAAGTTTTATCAGACTCTCATCTCCAGACCTTAAAATAAAAACATTGGACCAAAAGAACTATGGCAATTTATGTACTACATATAACATGCATAAATAAAATTAAATATGAAATGTTTTTATACTTAATTTTTCAATGGTTCATCACTCAAAACTTCACAGCATCACTCAGAATCTCCTCTGTAAGGTGAGGCACACCCTCTGGACTCAGTAGACGATTTGGAGGTCAAACAGAGTCCATCCTACAGACAGATGAGACGCTGTCCTATTTGAAAAGGTCTGGAGAAGGAGATTCCACGAGCTTCCCTAGCTACACCTTCCAGTGTCCATCAAACCTCACTGTCTGAAAAGTTTCCCTTTTCTGTTATCTAATCCCTCATGCTGCAGTTTAAGCCTATTACCTCCTGTTGGATCTCTAATGAGGCCCATCGTTGTTCTGCACAGATCCATTCTTTGCACCCAAGCTCTTTTAAAACTGCAAGCTAGGAACTTCTTGGTTTCTAATTTTGTTTTCACTGCTCTCCAGTCATCACTGTCATTCACCTGTGATTTTCTTCTTCAAATTTGTAATCATTTCCAATATTCTTGTAAAGTAACTTTCTTTAAAAATCGAAAGAAAATTATTCAGTAATTTTATGACATTAAAACCCCCTATTGACAATTTTTTTTCTCACCCTGCCCTCTTCATACACATGCATATATTATTGGAATCACAATATATAAATTATTTTATTGAATTTATTCCAAGTTTTTAGATTCCTTTTAAACTTCATAATGCAGAACATGCGTAAAATGAGCTACTTTCTCATCGTAGTTGTGACAGTACTGATGTAATTTGAAGAGTTTCTTCTTTTATGCAATAGAGTTAAATTATTGACGACTATTAAAGGACTCCACCAGATTCTAAGGATTCAAAGCATGTAAAAAAGAAAGAAAAAAAAATCTCATGGCTGGCATATAAGAAAACATGCAGCAACTGTGATCCTGGAATCCACCTTGACTGTGTAACTGCATGAGGTGGGCTGAAAGAGCAATACTTCAAAGGGGGCAGATGCAGCAGAAGCCTGGCAGGTGACAGAAGGGCTAAGAAATGCCTCCTGTCTGCCAGGGGCCAGAGCAACTAAGGACAGAATGTCAGTGCAACCCCAAGTTTAACTAGGCCTCTATAGAAGGATATTTGAAAATTCTAAGCTCAGTGGGCAACCTCCCAAATGTTTTCTAAACTATTAAAAATAAAAAATACAAAAGGTAAAGGCTTCCATTAGTAGAAGGAAACACAAAATTACTTTAAATATTAGAAATTGTGGTAATCAGTTTTTGTTCTCACTGTGACAAACCACCTGACACAATAGGAAAAGTTTGGTTTTAGCTCATTGTCTCAAAGGTTTCAGTCCGTAGACATATGTCCCTATTGTCTTGAGCCTGTGACAGTAGAGTACATAATAAATAAATACAAATAGATAATAAAGAAGTAAATAAATAAATGCCACTTCTAGCTATGATTATAGCTCAATAGACAAAAATTTTCCCAGCATGTATGAAGCCCTGAGGTCAATCCCCAGCACCACAAAGAAAAAACTGACTCTGATCTTATACTGATTCCGAACTTTGATATAAGAAGAAGCCATCTATAAAGACGAGGACCGAACTGGAGGTGGTGGCACACACCTATTATCCCAGCTCTTAGAGTTCAGGTTCAGGCTCAGTGTTGCCTTCAGATACTTTAAGGAAATTATTTCTAATCTGTAATTTCATATTATTCAACCATGTAAAAGGAAAAAAGGACTTTGGGTTTTCAAGTCACTAAAGGAAACTGTCTCCATGAACTCTACAACTATTTAGCAGGTGTTAAGAAACAGAATGAAAGAAAAGTTCTGGCACAAGAGAAATGAAAAGAGAGCCTCAAGAAGGCCACTGTATAGATGTAGGGTTAAAAACAGACTATTTCAGAAGCAAATAACTATAAAACAAACTATTTTAACCATTCTTCGGGCTACTTGGTGAGCCCTTTAAGTTTGGCAGTGCAAAGCCTTCTGAAGATTCTACTGAATTACTTACTGATAGTCCCATCCTTCTATTCCTCCTTTTTTTTCATGTCACATATCAGGAAATCAGCAAAGATGATCATAAGGAGTAAAAGTGGAAAGTAGAAACATTCAAATAGAAGGACTGTTGTTCACTTTGAGTTCCCACAAAAGCAGAGCTTGGCTGGGTGGGAGGAACTTGTATACAAGGAGCAGGAGTGAATGTGAAGAAAAATGGAAAAGCAAACACATCAGAGTACTATTATCATTACCACTGTGGGAACTGACAGTCCTGTCTGGAATCTTCCAAGGTATACATGCAACACCTTTTGAAGTCGATTTCCAGAGGGTTGACCATGTTTGTCTGTCAGCTTATACCTCACATTAGTTGAGTTTTGCCTTGCAATGTCAGCGTTTCCTGACTGAGCACAATCACCTGATCAGAGAGTTTCCCAGAGGCAATTTTGGCATTGGAAAAATCTGAGGGCAAAAGTGTAAAATGTCTAGTACCAGCATAACATAAGTCAAACTTCCCAATGCAGCCACACTGTAATCAAAGATGAAGCAAAGAGGATATGAGTCAGAAAGCCAGAATCAGCCCATGCAGTCTAGTCTTTGTCCTACTCTACTATCCATAGGCCCTACAGTTAATTACCTCCCAGGATCCAAGGTGGCAGTCAGCCAGTCTCTATGTGTGACTTGATAGAATAAGACAGTCTTCACTGCAACTGGTCCTGACATCCTACTTGATAGTTATCAACTCCCTCCACCATCCCTGTTAGATTTCCCTCTCAGTGCTCATTCGGCACTTTCTCTCACCCAATCAGATGACTCAGACCTTCCATCCTGAGCAGTTGAAGCCAGTGGCTACCTTGATCTTGTCAAACCACACTCACTACAATTCCTATTCACCTTTCTCATTGGGTACAGGAATGCCAAGAAATTCTGATGATTTTTCATTAACATGTATTAATTGTAAAAATTAATGAAACAGCACTTGAGAGGAGGAGGCAAGCGGATCTCTATGAGTTCAAGGTCAGCCTGGTCTACACAGTGAGTTCCAGGACAGCTGGGGGGCTACAGGGAGACCCTGTCTCAAAAAAGCCAAAAAAATTTAATGAAACCCACAGTAATATTTTCTTAAATGCATACAGCCTGTCTTGATCATGTAGATCCGTCTGCCCTTCTCTCCTCAATCCCTTCTCTAAGTACCCTTGCCAGTTCCTAGAAATAACTCTTCTAATTTCAGGTCTAGTTTTGTTGTTGTTGTTAAGTTTCCACATAGAATGAAAACACACTGTTTTTCTCTCATCTGTCTTATGCTAGTTAACATGACTTCCTCCAGTTCCAACCATTCTGCTTCAAATGACAAGGTATCATTCTTCTCATGGCAATATGACACTCCATTGTGGATTGATACTTTATTTTCTTTACCCATTTATTAACAAGTACGCTGATTCCATTAGCCCCACAATCAACATGACATGCAGGCTTGTCCTTTGTGTGCTCCAACTTCATTTCTTTTGGGTAATACCCAAAATGATTATGCGCTAGCTCTATTTTCAGTTTTGTGAGAAATCTCACAAATTTGTGTGAATACAACAAAATGCTTGTATTGATTTATATTTCCACCCACAACCTAAAGAAATCTTTTAACCGCATCCTCACCATTTGCTACGTTTTGACTTTTTGACAGTAGCCATTCTAACTGGGGTCAGGTAGTTTTCTGTTGGGATCTTGATTTGTATTTCCCTAGTAGTTAATGATTTTGAGTACTTTTCAGATATTTACTGGCCATTCAGATGTCTCCTTTGGGAAAATTTCTAAACTCTTATGACTGGTCCATATTCTGCCAATGCTTCAGCTCCCTCAAACTGACCTCTACCGTCTTAAATCACTAGCAGTGAGAGTCTAGCACTAGACATTACAGCTGGGGTCCTACCAGGAAGCCAAGCCTCAGTGAAGGAGGTGATCCTCTGGAGCACAAGGTGCCCACACCTCTTTAACTGTTGTTGGGATAGTCACCAACTAGGAGCACCTTGCTTCTCTTTGGTAGAGGTTTTTACCCTTCCAAATACTTAGCACTACCCTTTTTACTTTATCTTCTCTTCAATAATCTTTAAATAGCAACTACTATGTGCATATGTGTTAATATAATTATTAGCAAAATAAATAGTGCATGGTCTTCTTATAATTAGTTTCTATATTTGCATTTCATTTTAGGAAGTAATTAATGTTCTAACTTCAGATAATTACTCAACCTTTCAGAACTTCAACTTCCTCACCCTAAATGGAAGAAAGGGATTAATAGGCCACATAATTGTGTTCACATAGACATTATTTATTTATACATGTATTCATTAAGTCAACAAACAATAAATCTCTTCAATATCTGTGTGTGCCAGGCTCTATAGAGGCTTTGATCAGCAAAAATTATATGCCAACAGTATGAGCTACTGTTGTGTAGCAGTTAATCTTCTGTGAGCACAAGTTTATATTTAGAATACAGTAAGAAATTATGTCGGTATAGGAAAGTGAAAGAAGCAAGTTTTTCTCTAGGATCTATGATCTCTCCAGCCATGTGTTACACTTACTTTACTGAAAACAGAAAAGCAGAAAATTTAAAGGAAAAGAAATATTTATTATAATCCCTGCAACTTTCATCCAACATTATCCTTTACATATATTGGAAAGGTGAGATTTAGTCTTCATAAATGTTTTTTATGTCACTTTGACCTATAATATAGTATCAGTCTTTTGGCTTGATCAAGACTTATTTTTAAATACAAACATACATTGTTTGAATTTTATGATGTCTTGGAATTTTACAGTCTCTCACATATACCACCCATTCCCTTTGTCACTGTGTCAACTTCAGAACTGACAATCGAAAACAGGATAAAAACAAAATAGTAAATGCAATAAATAGAATTTAAAATAAGTAGATGCAACTAAATAACTTTGGAAGTTAGTTGAGTCTCTAAAAGTAGAATAAATTATGCATAAGCATTCTAGATGATAAAGTTGTTTCCCGTGGGGCTACAAGTTAAGAAGTCTGATCGTGGGTCTGGAGAGGTGGCTCAGGGAATAAGATCACTTGCTGTTCTTCCAGAGGACTCAGGTTCAACTCCCAACACGCACATGGCAGCTCTGGCTCTGTCATCTTTTTCTGGCTTTTGTGGGACACACACACACACACACACACACACACACACACA